GAGGCACTAACGTTAATTCATGGAATTTGTAATCATTTCAGGGTTCTGCCGCCTTTTCCACTTCGCCTTCTTCGGTCGGATCGTGAAGCTAAAGTGACACTGTATTTCAACATATTCCTCGGCATATTCATATTTATCATTTCCACCATGGTCGGAACTGCACTCGAAGTTGAGTCCCTTTCCTTAAAGGCAAAAGTCAGGCTCGTGTTTCGGCATTATGGCACCTGATATTGAGTTTAGAGATGGGAGGTGGAACGATAGTGAAGAAAAAACGAAAAAAACTGTCGACAACACCTAAATAGAAACCCCCATTCCTTCTAGCAGTGAAGGAGATTTGCTCGGGGGAGAGTCACGTCCAAACGAGTTTTCTGGATATGCCAGCCGTTCCATCGGTTGATACGGCAATCAACTCAGCTGATCTCACACGTTAGGCCAGCCACGCACCACATCCATGGTGGGCGGCCGGAGCGCCTCCAGGCGGCGCGAGCGCTTAATGCATGCCCTGGGGCGTTATTACGGCGCCTTTTGAGATTCTGAGCATGGCAACGTCCCTGTGGGTGCGTAGCCATGCACATAGACGACTAAAGTGATTGGTTTGGTCCACTGAGCCTGACTCGTGGCTTTAAGTTCATACAATAGCTGTCAGGTGTGTTCATCGAAATATAATAGTTCTTCCTGCCCGCATAAATATCGGGTCATGAGCAAAACTTTCGCCGCAGGCGACGCTCGAACCCGCATGGTAGATGTACCATAAAAAGCCGTGAGTCACGGCAAGTAGTGCCCCGGCAAGTAACCTGTAACGTATCTGCCCGCGTTAGCAAAGGGTGCGGGTTTGAGTCCCGCCTTGAACAGAAGTTTTTTCATAACCAAGCGTTCTTGTGAGACTTTCGCAAGGCCAACTGTGGTCAAAAACAGCAGTTGACAATAAAACGAAGTTTCTTCGTGCGTTATTTTTTCTCACTTATACGACCGCCTTCGAATATTGATATTTTATGTATAGCGGTTCACATTTTTTGAATCGCGAATCCTAAAAACATCCAAAAGAAAGAATCGCCGGGTAATTGTCTTTAAAGGGAAAAATAATGAACGAAAAGCGGTTTTTGTGGACCCTTTCACCGCCATTGCAAAACACTGTAGCTTTTACAAAGTAGACTGCACACGAACAATCACAGTAAAACTTCTTAAAATAGGTAATCGAAAATCCGTATAATAATAATGTAAAATAATGGATTTTAAATATGGAGCAATATACTTTCAGCTAAAGCGGATTTTCGGTATCGCTCGTAAGCCAGTTGGTCCCTCGATTGGATTTTGCTGTCAATTTGTGCTGATGCCAACGGTGAGGCTCATATTCTTACTTCCAGGAATCACACCTTTAGTTGGTGTTGTAGCCAGTCACATTCCGAGATGGCCAAATTTGACTGTTATTCCTCGCAGCCAATTCAGCTAGCAATACACAGCCGTGAAAACAGTTGTCCTTTGGGAAATTCTACAAGCTTCACGACCGAAGAGCAGCTGCCAGTATAAAGGTGGAGATAGCAAAACGTCCCCCATGCCGCACGATCACCAACTTTTTTGTCGCAACAGGGCGCCGCTTGTGAGGGAGTCTTACGGCATGATATTCTCTTGGTTCCTCCCCCCCCTATAAGCAGAATCAGGCCCTCCTTCACTGCTCTCACCATCCTTACATATGAGGTCATCTGCCATGATAGCAGAGTTCAAGGAGGTTTATCGTAATATCAGTCTGAAGGTGGTACATAATTTCATCAATCAAGTGATCAAATCATTTCCTAGAGGCAATACCCCTGACTATACGAGGTCCTTACCGACCGGCGCTACCCGCGTTCGATACGCGTAATGGTCTACGATCTGTCCAAGGCCTTGCTGTTTGAAAGCTTGAACTTTGCACCATGTTCCTGTGGGAAAATCCTCTGATGTCGTCTGTACAGAAGGCTACAGTGAAGTGTACTGATAGAGTGGAATGGGCTCTTCAGATCTCAGTTGGGTGTATTCGGTTTGAATTCAGCAGAATGTAGCTACCCCGTTTTACACGTGGAAGGGAATGACTTTTGCTACCCCCTCTCCCATATAAGGCTGGACTCAGCTATGTGGTATAGTGAGTGATGCATGAAAGATCAATGAGCATATTCAGATCGGATTCCTGTTGGCTGAGTTCGGTCTGCCAGAAGACGCCACTTCACTGAAAATGGCTCTGTTTGCCACATCCACGTTGTCGCAGTGGTGGCAAAGAGTTCGTTTTGGCGCATCATTTGGTCGGAGGAACATCTTGCCTTTCCAGTTCGATGACGTCACACAGACCTTAGCTGCTCTATGTGAGTTGAAATCATTGTGTATTCCTGCAAACCGATTTCAATTTTGGCTCAAATTTCAAGCCAAAAGAAGATCTCTGGGAATCAAACTGCCTCCTAACTAATGTGCACATGTGAGCAGAAAATCTCATTCTAGTGGGTAAAAATCAGCGCTTTCATTGATTTGTTCCTAACCTGTACCATTTGAGATCGTCATGCCGCTCGTTGCTGCCTGTCGTTCACCTAGACGAGTGCCAGCTTTTTTGTACGTTGAAGGGAGTGTGGCAAATTCGTTGGCAATGGCAATAATTATAAATGGACCTCTGAGGCCGTTGAAATTACAACAATCACAAATCACATAGGCGAGACCGATGGCAGACTGAAGAAGGCAAGCACAATGCACCCAGAGGTAGCACTAACTATAAGTGGCACAAGACGGCAATCAAGCAAAAAAGTCCAACTAGATACCGAGTTGAGGGAAAATGGCGCTACTTAATTATTGAATAGGGGACCAAGTTTTTGCTTTTTTCAGTTATGATGCCGTGGGATGTCAACGCTTGGTCGACACTTCACCGACGCTCACGTTCAAATTCCTTTCTTGAGAATTATTGAGGCAAGATTTATACGATTTCATTTACGGCTAAAATGACAGGATCTACTATTTGCCTGTAGAGCTAACTGCCTGTGCTTTTCTTCGTTTTTCTTTTCATTAACCATTAATGAGTATGAATATGAGTAAATGTGAAAAGAAACATGAAAAAATAAGTATGAAAAGAGAAAATTACATATCTGAAATTACCCAACATTCAGTATCTGGAGTTAGGGCGGAAGTGGTGTAGTGACAAGTGGCGCGCTTACCACGCGAGCGGTCCGGGGATCAAATCCTGGGTCGTGAGTCGCCCGGGCCAACCAAGCCTTCCATCCCTCCGGGGTCGGTTAATTGGTACCAGACTTGTCTGGGAGGATAAAAACACTGACTTGTACATCGGCTGGCCCCGCAAGTCATTGTATAGGCCACATCGCATTCAAACGTACAAATGGAAGTAGAATGCGTGCCGCATCCCAAAAAGGGATTGATCAACGGCAAATGCTTTATCCTTTATCTTCATCTTTTCATATTTTTGGAACTGTTAAGGATTTTCACAATTATGTTGAGATTTCTTTACACTCTTAAAGATAATTTGAACGAATCAAGAGAATTTGGTAAATAAAAATATTGAAATGATAATGGGTTTTCACATTTGTTGTTAGTTTGTGATAGGCTAATTATATTTTCATGGCTTGATTGCGCTATGATTCGCACAAGCATGGCATGATCCTCGCTAACTTATACGCCCTCAGATACAATCCCATGCGTTCATAATGGATCAAGGGCTAATTTTTTTTTTAGGATCTGCGTAAAAGTTTATCTCACTATTTTTCACTTCTGCGGTTGGCTTCCACAACTGCACGTTACAACGAGGTCATGGCGGAATGGATCAACACTGTCGAAATCGCAAAGTATTTGACCTCGACTGTTTTTGGACATATCCCTTTTTATCTCTATTCTCTTCTCTTTTCTTTTTCTGAATGTTTCACGCATTCTACTGCCGCTACTCGACTGGAGGCCCGTCGTGCGGCGAGTAGGCAGAGACGCAGACTGTTCGGCGGACGAGTTGCGGCGCGTATTGTGGGATTTGAAAGTACTGTAGTACATTCAATGTATCTTGACGCTAAATAGCTACCAATACGTGCTGCAACTCGCCCACTGACCCACCTGCATCTCTGCCTTCTTGCTGCCTGCGACGGACCTCCTGTCGGGTACCCCTACCATTGCTCTTTTTCCGCTCTAATTAGGAGCTGTTTCGAGACTATCTCTGATTTTTTACAGAGAGTTTCCTGGGCTGCAATGATAGTGATTTCGTTATTCGCGATTTACGCCAACTATTACATCTTCTGGCTGATCACATGGCCAATTGTTCTCTGCGGTGCGCACTACCTTGGCTTGGGTAAGTCAACATCAATTTTTATTTAGTATTTTGCCTTGAGCTATGTTGTGGTTCTGTGATGTCTTATTCCCAATTATATTCAACTAGTTCTCAAAGGCCATACAGTTTGCATTTCGCCAGCGAGTGGCGCAGCGCTCATTCGCTTGTGGTAGTTGAGTCTAAAAAATAAACACGACGCCTAGTTTTCGGTGCACTTGGTGCTTGTTTGAGCACCTAGTGGCTGATTGGAGCATAATTGGGTGTCGGATCATGAAAAAGCACACATGATTTCGATCTTATTGTAACTATTGTAGAGAGAATTCATGTTCATCTTTGATCGGTTCTATAATGACACAGTCTCAAAAAACGTAGTTGGGCATATTGCAAGGTACGGGGCACCATGATGGAAATTAATCTGACCGCAAAAAACATTTACCTTATGTTGAAAATGAAAGTGAGGCGGGAGAGGCGAGGTTGCAGGGTGGCACGAGAATAGAGTGTCTATTGTTCCCAATGTTACTGTCCTATTAGGCGTAGTAATGGAGACGACCTCCCTTATGTTGCTAGCCCCATAATTGTAGTCTTCTCGAGTGAGTGCGTCACTGCTTCTGCGGTAAGCTACTACGCTTCGCAGCATTCAAAGATGCCCTTACGGATAGCAGTATCTATATCTTTGAATTCAAACATCGGAACTTTATTTACTCTTTCTGTATTGACCTTGTAATCTCTGCTTTTTGTAATTTTAGCCGGTAACCGGAAGAACCTTCTCTTTATCTCAACTGCTGCCTAGCTGATTCTCTCAGTTAACGTTCTGTGTTTCTAATTGGTGATCTCACCAGGAAAGGTCATTAGGCCAACCCGGCCAAATGAAATGAGGTGCACATTTCTGTACGCAGCATGAGACGCTGAACTCAAATCTGCTTTCACTATCTGCTGAACTCTTCTCTGAAAGGAGTTACGGAGGGTTTTTGTTGCCGCCCTTGATTTTCAGTGTTTTACCTGCAATCACATGTTAGCCGCACTATAAAAGTATCGAAAGGAGAACCGAGGCACTGGTGTCGTGAGCCTTCGGTAGCGCAGTTGGTAGCGGTCGTGTTTCTCACGGAGGGGTCGGGGTTCGGTCCCTCACGGGGTTTGTTGTTTTGCTTTTTTTCCAACATGGCTGAAAAGCCTTTTTGAATCTGTTATTTTACCAATGGTCGCCCGACGCTACATCTACGAAGAGTTTGCAAGCTGACCCTCTTAAACTTAAGCACTACTTGTCTGTGAAAGCCTATGGTGCCCGTAGTGCAGGTGCTATGCTTTTCCGTGGCAAGTAGGTATGATATTCGTATTCAGGGATCAAACTACCCCTTACAGCGAGTTTTTCGCCAAATCTGAGGCGACGAACTAATTGAGAAAAAGCGGAGGCAGTGATGGGATTACCACTCCTCAAACTCCACTTTTTTGGGTTGACCAATCATGGACGACGGGGGAAAGGGGAGAGAAGGTGTTGTATTAGGAAATAATGGTTTGTAGATCTTTGGATGATGCAGACGGGCAAGCCAGACACAATTTTTGTCTATTATGAAAAGTTTTTAAAAAATTTATTCTACCCAAGTGCCAGCCTTTTGTAATGGATTGGTGGATCGGTGAGTAAGTGACTGCCCAAATTTTCGAGGTTAGGTCAAAATTTCAGAATTCGCTAGAAGTTCGCTCAAAGGGAGAGTCTGACTCCCTGATTACGAATATCATACTTGTTCGAAGCAAAAATGCCTGGCGCCTGCGCTACAAGCGCCCAAAGTGGTGAGGAGCGGTGCCGCCGCAAAGTTCATTATTAATTGCCCTCAAATTCTTTTTACTGTTAACTATACGCAAGCATGTCGGACTAGCAATGTTAGGAGTCTTCCTAGCTATCTTACTGCAAACGGCAAAAGAACAAACTCGCCAGGGAGTTGATCCCCTGACCTCTTTTTCGTGAGCCTCGACCACAGCCCCTGCGCTTTTCTGCTTCATAATTCCTTTCAGAGAAGAGTTCAGCAGATAAGGAACACATACAGTAGTGGCCAGAAATTTATGAACAAACGGTTTTTTCATGATTTCTCTTTTGAAAGTCACTGCAACGTCTCCAAATTTGCAACAATTATTAACTACGTGTTTTATGATCCACACAGAAAATTTCAACCTTCAGCTCAAATTTGGGTTTAGAAAATTTTAGATTTTTCGAAATTAATGAAGGCAGGTGAAAGATCACTTGATCCGTTTATTTGATTTAAATAATGTATAACCCAACAGAACAGTCAAGTAAACAGTCACTAACATTAAGCAAGTCTAGCACATTGCCCAGAACTCTCTAAAGTATTGGATACATAAACTGGATTTGAATGCGGGGTCAACTAATGAACTCACTCTCTAGTGGGGTCTCTCTCTGTAGTCCCGTCTTTTCGTGGCTCTTTCATTGACATACGAATTTGTAGGTCCTCCCCTAGTGGTTCTGTAATGTTTGGCTCAAGAGTCTGGCCTGGCTGGTCTTTTAAAAGCACCCCATGCTGTCGAAACCACTCCTGCATGTGAGAGGCCCGATGCTTTGAGTCGCTGCTCTGCTGACAGACAAAGCCAGGTCGTGTGGCAGCCATGTCTACGGATACATAACATCTTCTAGAATCTAAGTCTATACTACGTATTCCTTAGTTCTCAAAGTCTAAGAAGAGCGCTCGCTGTGAAGTGGGTGGGAGTAGAATGTGATTGACTAAGCCTGAAACGAAGGTTGATACAGGTTTCTAAGGTCATCTGGAATGACAAAAACATATTACTGATGCATGACAGCAAGGATACTAGTAATGTACGGCACCACGAGAGGGAACGTTTTGATCCAAAGAATCAGCTGCCAATTGTGAAACTTGGCGGAGGCTTGATAAGGTTGCCTTGGAAAAAAGTGGGACCACGCTACACGACTGAGGTAGCGATGAAGGCAGACGTTTGCTGTCATGTTTTGGAAGGTGTCATGTATCCGTAGGCATGGCTGCCGCACGACCTGACTTTGTCTGTCGGCAGAGCAGCGACTCAAAGCATCGGGCCTCTCACATGCAGGAGTGGTTTCGACAGCATGGGGTGCTTTTAAAAGACCAGCCAGGCCAGACTCTTGAGCCAAACATTACAGAACCACTAGGGGAGGACCTACAAATTCGTATGTCAATGAAAGAGCCACGAAAAGACGGGACTACAGAGAGAGACCCCACTAGAGAGTGAGTTCATTAGTTGACCCCGCATTCAAATCCAGTTTATGTATCCAATACTTTAGAGAGTTCTGGGCAATGTGCTAGACTTGCTTAATGTTAGTGACTGTTTACTTGACTGTTCTGTTGGGTTATACATTATTTAAATCAAATAAACGGATCAAGTGATCTTTCACCTGCCTTCATTAATTTCGAAAAATCTAAAATTTTCTAAACCCAAATTTGAGCTGAAGGTTGAAATTTTCTGTGTGGATCATAAAACACGTAGTTAATAATTGTTGCAAATTTGGAGACGTTCCAGTGACTTTCAAAAGAGAAATCATGAAAAAACCGTTTGTTCATAAATTTCTGGCCACTACTGTATATGTTATGACTATATGTGTAATAAAGCGCTTGTAAGACTACTTAGTTCAAAGAAATATCCAGGGGA